TCATTAAAGAAGATGGTGATGGGAAAACTTGGATTTTCTTTTTTCTTCAATAGTGAACCAGCTGGTTTGATATGTGAAGGGATCGACTGATCCCATGGGCAATCGCTCGTTCTGATGTTGTCCCTTAAGCGATCAATCGATCTGATTAGTGATCAATCGATCTAAAGATAACCTGCTAGTTGATCGATTTTCCTGATTAGTGATTGATCGATCTGAAGATACCCGTTAGCTGATCGTTCGATCTGAAGATACCCGCTAGCCGATCGATCGATCCGCTAAACGATCGATCGCTTGATCTGTCATTCAAAAATGGCAACTTTTTGCTCTTTTGCTCTGTTTTTTGCTCATTATTCCTTCGATTCCATCAAAATATGTTTTACCCTGACAAGACTTAATAAGACATATAACATTTGAAAAACTATTGAAAACTTGAGTTAGAATATGTCAAAAGTGCAATACATCAACATTAACATGAACTAAATGAGTAAATTACTCGTACTCATGATATAACTTCTCTTACCTACCTAATTATTTTAAATTTAATGTGCATTAGGTCCATCTACAAAAGATCGATCTTGAGCAGCGAAGAAGAAGAAAAATGCTATTGGGCAGAAACTAAAGATAACCTGTCAAAATTTGTTAAGCTAAGTACCATTCTGATACACAAGAGAGAAGAATGCCAACTGAGGTTTGTAATGTTGACAATTTTAGTTTTTCTTGTTGAGCAACCAATCCCGATTAGATGATTTTGATAAAAACAATAAGTATGCATTTTAATTATATTCTCAACTGGTTTAATTTTAAATATATCTATCAAGTTGAGAATATAATTAAAATGCATACTGATTGTTTTTATCAAATCATCTAATCGGGATTGGTTGCTCAACAAGAAAAACTAAAATTGTCAAAATCATACTGATTGTTTTTTCTTGCTCATTATGCCTTAGACACCATCCAAACGTGTTTCAGTCTAAAAAAACTCTAAAACACAGAAAACACGTGAAAAACTTTTGAATACTTGGGTTATAATGCGTCAAAAACACAATACATCAATATAAACAATATGAGTAAAATACTTATACTCATGATACAACTTCTCTTACCTACCTAGTCGCTTAAAAGTTAATGTGCATGAGGTTCACCTACAAAAAGATCGATCTTGAGCAGTGAAGAAGAAGAAAATTACTATTGGTCAAAAACTAAAGATAATCTATCAAAATTCGTTAAGCTACGAAAAGTTCTAATACACAAGAGCGAAGAATGACGACTGAGGTTTATAATCAATTTTAGTTTTCTCTACTTAAGCAATTGGTCCTGATTAGATGATTTTGATTAGTAATAATCAATAGTTGACGAAAAAGAGAAGGAATTCTCTGTTTGCAGCTATTTAGAATGATATTTCATAGTGATAACCAGTTTCAGGTTAGCTGTAACCTTGGTGATAAGTTCCTTGCGAGACAAGATAATTTGAAAAAGATGTTTGTAAAAGTGGGAGTTGTTTGTGCTACTGCTGATAGGTTCTAGGCTCACTTGGGGAACCGTGGTTAGAGTGATCATGTGCCTTTTGCACATCCTATTTCGTTCTTCTAACCGTTTCCTCTACCAAACGGTTATTTTGGGTCTCCCACTGGTTCATCTAAGATTCTACTTGTCGTAAGACACAATTTTGGTTGTAAAAATCTTCAAAAGTTTAACTCACACGGAAAACCATCACGTCTATTAAAGAAGATGATGATGGGAAAAATTGGATTTCCTTTTTTTATGCATTATTGATCCCATGGGCGATTGCTCGATTTGATGTTTTCCTCTAAGCGATCAATCGATCTGATGAGTGATCGATCGATCTAAAGATAACCTACTAGTTGATCGATTGTTCTGATTAGTGATTGATTGATCTGAAGATACCTGTTAACTGATTGATCAATTTAAAGATAACAGCTAGCCATCGATCGATCTGATGAGTGATTGATCGATCCAGTTGTTTATCGATTCGATCGATCCTTGCTTTGCTGATTAATATGAGGAATACGCTAAACGATCGATCGATCAGTTAAAGGATCGATTGATCTATTGTTCGAAAATGGCCACTTCTTGCTCTTTTGCTCTGTTTTTTGCTCATTATGCTTTTGATACCATCAAAACGTGCTTCAACCTGAAAAGATTAAAAAAAACACTTATAACAGTCGAAAAACTTTTTGAAAACTTGTGTTAGAATGTGTCAAAAACGAAATATATCAATATGAACAAATTGAGTAAAGTAATTGTACTCATAATACAACTTTTCTTATCAATCTAGTCGTTTTAAAGTTAATGTGCATTGGGTCCACCTGCAAAAGATCGATCTTGAGCTGCAAAGAAGAAAAAAATTACTATTGGACAGAAACTAAAGATAGTCTATCAAAATTTATTAAGCTAAGTACCATTCCGATGCACAAGAGAAAAGAATGCCGACTGAGGTTGGTAATGTTGACAGTTTTAGCTTTTTTTAGTTGAGCAACCAAACCCCGATTAGATGATTTTGATGAAAACAATCAGTTCGCATTTCTTATTTTTTTTTCAATTTTTTTTTTGTTATTGATTTACATACTTGATTTTTTGTTTGTTTAACTTTTGTGACATTGAGTTTCCATTTTATTTTGACAAACGTTATATATTTGGATTTTGACATAACTTTCTTTTATCTGGTTTGTTAGTTAATTTTTTTATTTTTTTTTATTCTACTATGATAATTTTTTGTTTTTGTGTGATTTAAGTTAGTTAAATTATAAATCTTATTTAATATTTTTGTATTTAATGAAAAACGCTAAGGTAGACTACTCAGATTGAGCTTCTTTGTCTTATATGAGACATCAATATTTATATAGTATAGATTTCTAAAATAGTTAGTCCGATAATAGTTTTTATTTAATTAAAATATTTATTTCCATTACCTTTTTGTGTTTTTTTATTTTAATTATATTGTTAATCGTATTTATTTTTTTGTTTGATAAAAATATTGATTTGGACTAATTAAATACTTTGATTTTTATTAGTTAAAACTCTCAATTTTTAATTAGTTAAATATTTTTTATTAATTGTTTAAAAGAGTTAGTGTATAATAAGTTAAATATTTTAGATATTAATTTAACTTTTTCATCATTGATTTTTATATATGTTTTTTGCTAGTTTCGATTTTTTGATCTTGAATTTCTATTTCATTTTGATAAATGCTAAAAATTTTAACTTTTGACATAATTTTTGTTTTTGTTTTGTTAGTTAAACTTTTTTTAATTTCTATTCTACTATGATAATTTTGTGTGTTTTAATTATTTTAAATTTAGTTATATTTAATATATTTGATATAATAAAAATACTGATTTGCACCAATCAAATTAAATTTATATAATTTTAGGTGGATGCAACAATTTTTATATAATATAGATGTTAGGAAAATGATTTTGCTTTCATAGCACGTTTTAATACATTTAGTTAAAAAATATGGGAGGAATTACTGTTACAGCAACTTCTAATATATAAAAACAAATCGCTAAAATATGACAATAACTGAAATTACTGAAATTAAACGAATCAAAAATGATGTCTAAGAAATTATAGAAGTTGGTATGGTGCACGGGTGCATCATTCACTCAAATTTACATATCCCCTATATATATTAAAAGAGAAGCATTTTCAAAGAGAAACCTTAAATTTGTAGAATATTACAGTGATGCCATTTTGCTGATGTGTCACATCACCATAGAATTTTTCAGTATTTTTATAAAAAAAGACTTTTGTTACTAAAATATTTATATGCTATGCCATTATGCATTATTATAACCAAACATATATTATACTTTTATAAACTATCATTCGATATATTATTTAAACATATTAGTTTTTGTTTTAAAAACACATCTTATTAAATTTATGAGCCATACAATTCTATTTATTATTATAATATGATGCAATCTTTATAATGTATTCAACGGCTATAGTTTCTGAGAGAAATAATTTAAATATTATACATTAATCATATTAAAAGAGAAATAATATAAAAAACTGTCAATTTTTTTAAAAAAATGGAATGAATAAGCCTACAAAAAACGAAATTTTTATTACCTTAATAATATATATTGTTGGTTCCAACCCATGAAAATAATTTTTTCACTATTAAACACATTTAAATTTAAATAAATTAAATGTTGAATACATTATTAAAAAAATCACTATTAAACGGTTTTTTTTTTGTCAACTATTAAGCTGTTGTTTAAATTGATCATTTAATGTAAGACCAAGTATCCATACAAATTATTATAACCTAAATAATTTATATTGCTGGTTCCAACTTATGACAATAAAATTTTCACTATTAAACACATTCAAATTTAAATAATTTAAAAGTTGAATACATTATAAAAAATTATTATTAAGCCGTTTTTTTAAAATTGATCATTTGATGTAAAACCAAGTAACCATACAAATTATTAGTATTTTTTATATTTGTATCCAACAGAATTATTAACCGTTTTAACTAATTTTATATTTTGATTGTTAAATCTTAACTTTAGAAAGAGTACTTTAGAATAAATCGCATGCATTAAATTTTAATTTTAATCATATCATCTACTGAAATATTTTTGAGGCTATATATAGAAACTAATAAATTATAAAAGGGATCCATATATATGTCGAGTACTCCATATATATGCATTAAATGATTAAATGCCAAATTAAATGTGAATACGTCTTCTCCAGCTATGATTATGAGAGTTAATACATCTTTCCTAACAATTACAAAATAAAAGGTACTACTAATTACTATTTAAGAAATAACATATTTGATTTTTCATGTGATGGAAGACTTAAATCAAATACAAAAAATTAGTATCTTAAATATTAACTTCGTTCCCATAATTGATTCATTTTGTTATTTAATGTCTAATATTTTAAATATTATATATGCCCTAAATACTTATCACATATATCATAATTTCTAATTGTGTCCCAATTATATATAAAACATGTGCCGTATGCACTCAAACACCACTTTCTCTTTGCATTTTCCATCTAAAGTTTTTCTACAGTTCTTTCTCTCATGGCATCTTTTAGTTCTATTATTGATCTGAAACCCTTCAAATATATGTGAAAAATTTAAGTAAAGATCATATGTCTCTGCAGACAATACTTCCTGCTGCTGGTCTAACTATTGAGATAGTTTTGATCGACACAAATGTTAGTTTTCTATTATTTTAATATTATGCTTAAAATTATGATTTTACTACTTTGTCATTGACTCATTTTTTTATAAATTGTTTTGGACAGGGTTACAAAATTCATGCTACAGTGAAGAAGGATCATGTTAATAAATTTGAACCATTCCTCTCACAAGGTGGTTCAGCTATTCTCATTAACTTCACTGTCAATCACTCATTGAGATCATACCGAACAACCAATCACCTTTACAAGATTACTTTCTTTGCAACCACCCGTGTTCGCAATTGTGATGAACTGCCTAATGAAATCAATGAGTTTGAGCCAGCTAATTACCAGAATATTCTGGATGGTTCCTTGGATCCGAACTACTTAATTGGTATGTGTTCTTCTTTACAAAAATTCAATTATTGCATTTTAATTATCTGAAACTACATGTTTTAACATTATCTTATTTATCTTACACAGATCTTATTGGAAAACTTCTCGATTTGAATATTATCATCCAGCGTTAAAAAATAAATATCAAATGATGCGAGACGTACTTAAATTATTAATATGTGGCAATATACGAAACAATTTCTTAGTTGGCAGTACCGATTATTTCGTTCTCAACAAAATTATTTCTGACTATTGTTAGTTTTTAATTATTTTGGAAGAATATTTTGCTGTTTTATTTCACAAATTAAGTGAATTATATCTACTTCTTTTTTATACTATCATTCAAACCCAAATTTAAACCTATTAGAATAAAACAGTATACAACAAATGAAGTTATAGCGGTTTTACACTAATATATATATATATAAAGCCTTTATTATATTATCAATATTTTAGGGATTGTACAATATAAAAGCAAATTTAAAAACTAAAAATATTATGTTATATAATGTAAAAAATATTATATTAAAATTAAATAAAAGATATTTCATCCCGCGCAGGGTGTGAATTATTACCTAGTATCGAATGATATATAATAGAAGATTAGTAGAAATAAAAAAGTAATGTATAAAATCTCCTAATGTAGCGCTGATGATTAACTTGTGATGAACTAATACACACCCTTGGATTAAATCTTGTAATCCAAATTGAATAAAGGTTATTTTGTTAAATCGAGGAAAATGATTGTTAAAATAAACTTTGATTACAAAATGATAAACGCCAAGAACTAATATAATTTATCAACAAACGAACGAATTTAAGTAATCTCCACTAAACCGGTTTCCGGTTCTCCCAGTTTATTTAAACATTTAAACACACCTCAGACCATTTCTTGCTCTTTTCATCTGTTTTTTTGCTTATTATGCCTTCGATTCCATCACTACATGCTTCAATCTGAAAAGACTTGAAAAACACATATAACAAAAACTTGGGTTAGAATGTGTTAAAAATGCAATACATCAACATAAACTAAATTTTAAAGTATTTATACTCATAATACAACTTCTCTTATCTACTTAGTCGTTTTAAAATTAATCTGTATTGGGTTCATCTGCAAAAAGATCGATCTTGAGCAGCGAAGAAGAAGAAAATTTTATTGGACAGAAATTAAAGATAATTTGTCAAAATTTGTTAAGCTAAGTATCATTCCGCTACAAAAAATGCCAACTAAGGTTAGAAATGTTTTAAAATTATAAATTTGTTTTTACGTTTTTATGTGACTTTTTGGTATATTAAATTACAAGTATTTGATTAGATAAAATATATTTTAAATTAAACATATAAAAATTACTCTTTGTAATAACTTATAATAAATAATAGTGATAAAATTATTATATTACAATAAATAAAGTGTTTTTTAAATATGAATTTATTTATATTATATATAAAATAATATTTTATTATTAATTTAAAATAGTTTTTATATAATTGAAAGTGCTATTTTATTATCTTATATTAAGTTTTTTTTATTTATTTTTATTCTACATGATTTGCTTATCTTTATACATTTTTATTAGTTTGTATAATATTAGAATTTAGAAATTTTCTTAATAAATTAAAAAGAAAATAACTAACTTAAAAAATATAATTAATTACAGAAAATGATATGGACCAATGATTTTTTTATAACTTAATAATATGTATACTTTTTATTATTAATATGAAAATAATATCTAATTTCCATACTTTATAAATTTGTTTTTATTAATAATTATCTAAAAATTTAGAAACTTTTCTAATAACAACAAAAACAAAATTAATTTATTTTTAGAAACTTTACTATAGATGATGATGCGTACCAATATAATTGAATTTTTTAAATTCTATGTGGACAATCTTAGAGGCTTATAACATCAATTTTATTAGTAATAGATTTAGAGATGAATCTGGATTAGAAAGTAAAATGTTTAGTAATAAATTTAGTATATTAACTTAAATAAATTTACAAAATAAAAAATAAATTAAGAATATTTTAAATATCAAAGTAAATAAAATAGTAAAATCACCATATGTACAATGTTAAAAAATCATGGTATGTGTACGTTAGTGTATTTTTTGTTTTTTGACGTTAGTTTATTTAGAAACAAAAAAAGTTAAAAAAAATATTTTTATTAGAAAAAGACTGTTAAGTGTTAACTTACACTGTAGAGAACAGAAAAAGGAAACACTGTAAAGAATAAAAAAAAGGAAATCAAATATCTGACTGGGAGAAAAAAAAAAGCCTACACTACACAGTTACACACTCTTCAGCACAGCGCCTATATATATATATAGTCTTACTTGTGCTCACCACAAGTCTTTGTATTTTTCACTCTCTTTCTCGCCTCCAATTTCAGTTCTCCTAATCTCTGTAAGAAAAAGCGAAAAAAGGTTGAAGCTTGCGTGTGTTTGGGTGCAGAAGAAAGACAAAGAACGATGACAAAGAGAAAGATCGAAATCAAGAAACGAGAGAGAAAAGAACAAAGATCCGTCACCTGTTCGAAACGCCGCAAAACAGTTTTCTCGAAAGCCTCAGATCTCTGCCAGTTCTCCGGAGCCAACATTGGGATCCTCGTGACCTCTCCCGTCGAGGATTCAGATGCTATTTGCTCCTTCTCCGGTTTCTCCTCCTCTGCCTTCGATATCGCTGATTGCTACTTGAGCGACAAGATTCCCCCCAAGCTAGGGCTTTGGAGGAGGCAAGACCACAATCTCTCCGAGATCAGTGTCTTCAAGGACCATCTTGAGAGGATTAAGAAAGATTTGATGTCTCGTCTTGAGAAGAATGAAAAGCCACAACCTGTCTCTGGTTTCGATCGAAACCCTAGCGCTTCTTCTCTCGACGGGTCCTCTTCTTCTTCGTCGCAAATTGTTTCTAATTTCGATCAAAATCCTAGCGATTCTTCACGATATGTGTCTGATTACGCCAAGGCTTCTTCTTCTCTCTGAGACATCTCTAATTCAAAGTTTGCTTCTTTTGATCAGGATTTTAATGACTCATCTTCTCTTTAAAGGTTCTAAAGAGCAAAGTATAAAGAACGACTTTCTTTATTATGTTTAGAAAATAACTCAAAACTAAACACAACTCTTCTCACACCTTGTCATAACTCGACATAGATATTATTTATAGGTTTAACACAGCTTTGCTAATCCTATTCCAAATAGAAATAGATAACTCCTAAATCTATTCAGATTACAACAACCTCTTTTATCCTAAACTAACTTGGTTTAGGCAACTTAGGTTGTTTGTTGTCAAAGCTTGTCAAAGCTTATCCAACATTCTCTCTCATAAGCTTTGTTGGCTTTGTCTTGGACATGTTTAGAACACCTATCAAATTTCTCATTTCTGTAAATTTGATCCGCGCCAATGCCTTTGTTAGAATGTCCGCTCTCTGTTCTGTTCCAGGCACATGCTCCACATCAACGAGCTCCCTCTCAATGCATTCACGAATGAAGTGGTAGCGCTTATGAATGTGTTTACTCTTGCCATGGAACACCGGGTTTCGAGTGAGTGCTATTGCGGACATGTTATCGATCTTAATGAGAACTTGCTCTGTGTTCCAACCTGTAATCTCGCTTAAGAGATCTTGAAGCCACATAGCTTGTCTCGCTGCTTCCGTTGCTGCCATGAACTCGGCTTCGCATGATGACAGAGCAACTGTGTCTTGCTTCTGTGAACACCACGTTATTGGTGAGGATCCGAAATAGAAAATGTGTCCTGTTGTACTTCTTCCATCGTCCGGGTCTATGTTGTGGCTGCTGTCACTGAATCCAGTGATCTTCTTCGTTCCCCCACGATTAAACTTCAAACCGTATGCCACAGTTCCTTTAAGATAGCGCAAGATCTGTTTCATCACATCGCCATGGCTCTTGCGTGGGCTCTGCATATATCTACTTGCAACACCAACCGAGAATGCTAGATCAGGTCGTGTGTGCAGTAGATACCGTAAGCAACGCACGTTTCTTCTGTATGCGGTGGGATTTATCTCGTCTTCTTCTGTCGCCTTTGAGACTTTTAAACCAAACTCCATTGGAACTTGAGTTGGGTTACAAGTATCAAGGCCAGCTTCTTTCAGGATCCGTTTTGCATAGGCTTCTTGTTTGATTTCGATCCCATCCTCTCCTTGATGTACTTCCATGCCTAGGTAGTACGTTAGCCTTCCGAGATCAGACATCTCAAACTTTGTTGACATTCCATGCTTGAAATCGCTTATAACCTTGCTTGTATTACCTGTTACAAACAAATCATCAACATAGATAGCAACAATCAATAATGTATCTCCCTCTTCCTTGCGATACACCGAAGTCTCTTTAGAGCATCTCTTAAAACTCATTCCCTGAAGAATTTGATTCAGCTTAGTGTTCCATGCTCTTGGAGCCTGTCTTAGACCATACATGGCTTTTGAAAGTTTGTAGACCTTATGCTCCTGTCCCTTTACTACGAATCCCTCGGGTTGTGTCACATACACATCCTCCTTGAGTTTGCCATGTAGAAACGCAGTTTTAACATCTAGATGATGTACTTCCCATCCATGTGAAGCAGATAGCACAATCAACAGCCTTATCGTTTCCAATCTCGCAACTGGTGCGAAGACTTCGTCAAAATCAATACCGCTCTCTTGTACATAGCCTTTCGCCACTAACCTAGCTTTGTACTTGTTAATTGTTCCATCAGCATTCTTCTTTATTTTGAATATCCACTTGAGTCCAATCACTTTTGTCTCATGCGGTTTATCCACCAAACGCCAAGTTTTGTTTTTGTTGATGGAGTCAATTTCTTCTTCACACGCTAAGTTCCACTCTAGAGAATCCTTTGCTTCTCTAAACGATCGTGGCTCATCATTGATCATCAAAAGTAGTCTTTCACACTCTATATCAGATTGTAGTGCATAATCACCCTTTAGATAATAATCTTCAAGATAGCTTGGGAGATTTGATTCTCGTGTAGATCTTCCTAGTGGCTGTTGAGTTTGTTGGATGTTAAGCGGGGACTGACGTGGTGTAGTTTGCTCGTTCTCTTGTTCGCGGCTTTTGCGGACTTGAGGGCTCTTCTTCTCCCGTATTCCTATCTTGATCGGGAAAATCTTCGCCAACAATCGCCGGTCCTTCTCCCTCGTCGATTGTTGATCCCCATCGCATATGGAACATCTCTGGATCCCTAGTGGATCCTTCTCTAGTCTTGTTCCAAATCCAGCCGTTTTCTTCATCGAAAACTATATCACGACTTACCACAATTTTCCGTGTGGTCGGATTATAGAGCCTATACGCTTTGGATCCTGGTTCAATACCAAGGTTAACCAGGGGTATAGAACGATCATCCAATTTCTTGGTCAGATGCGCGTTAATCTTTGAATATGCAAGACATCCGAAGATTCTCACATGTCCAAGGCTCGGCTTCCTCTCTCGCAGGCTCTCGTATGGTGTCATCTTTATCAAAGCTTTCGTTGGTACTCTATTAATTATGTAGGTCGAATGTCGAACTGCTTCCCCCCATAAATAATTAGGTACTCTTATAGCTTTGAGAATGCTTCTCGCCATCTCCATAAGAGTTCTGTTTCTCCTCTCTACGACTCCGTTTTGTTGAGGCGTGTAGGGTGCGGTTAAGTGTCTCTTGATGCCGTTGGCGTTGCAGTAGGCTTGAAATTCCGTTGATGTGAATTCTCCACCCCTATCGGTTCTTAGAGTTAGGATCTTCTTTCCCAATTCTTTCTCCATCAAGTTGCGAAACACTTTGAACTTACTAAACGCCTCGCTCTTTTCTTTCATCAAGATGGTCCACATGTATCTCGAGAAGTCATCTATTATGACGAATATATATCTATTTGCAGCTGCGGTTGCAGGAGTTATAGGTCCACACAGGTCGGCATGTAGGAGCTCTAGTGGTTTCGATGCACGGTACGTGGTTGCTTTCGGGAACGATTGTCGTGTTTGCTTGCCCACCAAGCATGATTCGCACAATCGTTTCTCTTCTCTAACTTCTGGCAATCCATGAACCATCTCTTGTTGTGACATAATCTTCAAAGTGTTGAAGTTTATATGTCCCAATCGTGCGTGCCATCTCCAAGTATTATCCTCTATACTTGATTTCAAACACACCGGCTTCCCAATCGTCAGCTTAATCTTGTATAACCTATTTGGTGATCGATTTACTCTCACCAAAAGTTTTCCTCGTGGATCATGAACCGTGAGATAGTTTTGTCTCATTCTCACATCGCATCCAGCTTCCGTCGCTTGTCCTAGACTTAGGATGTTGCTTTTGAGTTCTGGTATATAGTAGATATCTGAGACAAGTTTTTGTTCATCGGTCTTGCTTTGAAATAGGATCGAACCTTTTCCCCCTATTTCGATACATGAGCCGTCGCCAAACTTCACCTTCCCTCTTATGTTCTCATTCAGCTCCGAGAAGTATTTCTTGTTTCCTGTCATGTGGTTACTCGCGCCGTTGTCGAGATACCACAGTCCTTCTTCTACTCCGCTATCTTCGAGATTCTTGGGAAGCACGTTTTCCTCGTTTAAGAACACCACCTCGTGCATATAGAGAGCTGCATCAGCTTCCTTTGTTTCTGTCTTGTTTGCTTCTTGATGTTTCTGTGTTCTTTCAGGACATCTAGAGGCAAAGTGTCCTGGTTTCTCGCACTTGTAACAGATTACTTTCGGTCTATCTTTTTTCTCTTTTGATCGACTTTGGTCTGTTTTCTCTTGTGAGCTACGATCTTTGCCTCGTCCTTTTCCTCCTCTGCCTCGTCCCTTTCCTCGTGTTGATGTTGAGCCTCGTTCTTCTGAATTGGCGTACAAAACCTTTTCTTGAGTCTCGCTATGAATCTCCTCGTCAAGGACTCTTTCTTCGTACGCTTTGAGTCTACCCACTATATCTTCAAAACTGGTCTTGTTCAAATCCAGAACTTGCTTAAGTGACGCTATCAGGTGGATATACTTCCTTCTCGGCAAGCTATTAAGAAACTTTTTCACAAGTTTCGGTTCATCAATCGTCTGTCCGAGAGTTGCTGATTTCAAGGCTATCTCCGATAGTTTTCCGGAGAAAGTGTCGATCGTCTCTGTTTCTGACATACGAATCCTCTCGAACTCCGACATAAGTGTTTGAAGTCTAGCATCCTTGACACGTTCAGCACCTAAGTCTGGGATTTTTATTGATTTCCAAATCGATTTCGGAGACTCCTGTTCCCCAACTTGTAGAATAAGGACTTCTGGAATTGATTGGAATAACAGGCCTATTGCGATATCATTCTTATCTGGAACTAGTGACCCAGGTTCAATAGTTTCCCAGACCTTATGGATACGCAGCATGACCTTCATCCTCATAGCCCACACCGTATAATTCGTAGGTGTTAGCATCGGGCATTGGATTGAGGATGGTATAGCTTCCTTCGGACGAGCCGCAGGAACGATGTCTCCCATAGCTCGGGGACTCTTTTCCTCTCGTCGTATAAAGGAGCTTTCTTCAAAGCTGTAGGATCGATTATCCTAGAAGCTCTGCTACCAAATAAAGGTTCTAAAGAGCAAAGTATAAAGAACGACTTTCTTTATTATGTTTAGAAAATAACTCAAAACTAAACACAACTCTTCTCACACCTTGTCATAACTCGACATAGATGTTATTTATAGGTTTAACACAGTTTTGCTAATCCTATTCCAAATAGAAATAGATAACTCCTAAATGTATTCAGATTACAACAACCTTTCTTATCCTAAACTAACTTGGTTTAGGCAACTTAGGTTGTTTGTTGTCAAAGCTTGTCAAAGCTTATCCAACACTCTTCAGGATATCTATGGCAGATCTTCATCACAGATTAATCAAAACCCTAGCGTTTCTTCACGATTTGTGTCTGATTTTGCCCAGGCTTCTTCTTCTCTCTGCGATATCTCTAATTCAAAGTTTGCTTCTTTTGGTCAGGACCCTAATCACCCATCTTCTCTCCACGATATTTATGGCGGATCTTCATCACAGATTGATCAAATCCCTAGTTTATCCTCCGATGAAGGCGATGATGATAGCTTTTGGGTAGATTTCCTCAGCGACGACCTATGGGAAGCGAAGGATGAGAAGAACAACTCAATGAGTCCAACGCAACAGAGCCTGTGGCCAATCTCGATGGTTATGATGATGAGAAGAGCTTTTGGGAAAATCTCATCAAAGACGATGTCTTGAGTCTTAACAACACCACTCTGGTGAATGTAGAAAACGAGTGCATGATCGACATTAGCCAATTTCCAATCTGATCAATTCATAGCTTGAATCATGTCGTATGTGGTTAATTAGGTGTTTAATCTTTGAACTCTTAATTAACTTTGTTCCAATCCTTTAGGTATTACCGGTTTATTTCGTGTATATGTTAACTATCCAATTGATTCATATTCGGAATTATATAAAACGATTTTCCATTAGATTTTGTTCTCGTTAATTTTTTTAGTAAGTTCTGGCTTTTAATCATACAATCATTGAAGATTGCTGTTTATAGTAATGTTAAGTTTTGCCTAATAAACCCCAATTATCATTTATCAATAAGAAAGAAACTAATGGAACAATAAATACACACAATTCATCAAGAAACACAAAATGCTTTGTGAGAATCTCCTGAGAGCTAATGGCTTCGTCTCTTTCGGCAGATAAAAAAAACCTCTCCGAAGCTTCTCAATGGAGGAGACAGGCTTCTGTTTGTCAACACTACAAGTCAAATCTTGGTGCTTTTCAATCTTGTCTTGGAGGGGATGCAGCTGCTGTTGTTTCTCTCGCTGTACTTGAAACAAACCAGGTTTTCAGACAAATTTGGCTAACCTTTAGGCTTGTTTTCTTTTCCGGTGGTGTTTATACAGTTTCTTAACTCTGAGTTTGATCCTCTGTTTGGCATTCCCCTGGAGACGAAGCTTTGAGCTGCTCTTCTGTGATCTTGAGGCAATCCTCGGTTGTGTAAGCTTTTGGTGATTGAGCATCATTATCTGCTTTATTTCAAGGAAATTTACCATATAACACTTCACTAGACTCCACTCATGAACACGAAATGCACAAAACAGCTCGTGGTCTTGACGAATCAAACTACTTATTTCATATGTCTCAGTTAAAATCCATAGTATGATATGCTTCCTGTTTTGTTAGCATACGTGCATAGTAAACATATATAGACCACTCACCGATGTCATTTGCAGTCACAGGAACTGATGGTGGAGGAGGAGAAGGTGGACCAGGGTTTGTTCTGTTTGGGTGTACAAATTTGGCGTTGAGATCTCATCGAGTCCAATTTCACGCTCAAGGGTGCTTTTGAAATCTCTTGAAACATCCTGAAGATTCAGCTATATGCAAGCAATCAAACAAAGACACTCGTTGTTCCAGAGAGTTCTGAAATCAAGAAAACAAAACATGAAGCTCTTTAATCGTGGACTGAAACGCATGCAGGGTTTTCCCAAGAGTTCGAGCTAGCTGTGCTCAGGTGCTCCAACGCCAAACAGAGACGTACAAACATCTGATGTTGAACCAGAAAATCATTAATAGGTCTAAGTGATTAACAGTTGTGGGTTTTGAAGAATAAGATCTTTATTAAAAGTTTAAAGGCAAAGCGATTATAGAGATGACGTGACCTAGAGGCTGCACTGAAGTGAAAGAAAGTAGTGAAAGTTTATAAACTAGAAAGCTTGGAGTTTTTAGGTTTAGCTCTGCTGCTCTCTAGAAAGTATGAGTTAGTCTTCAAGATATCTAGGGTCTTCTATTTATAGGATTAGGAGGTCGGTTATGGAGTACTCCTTTTCCTTTTCTCTTTTGGGATAATTCTCATATTTTGGATATGGAAATATCATTTTCTTCCTGATTCGGTGGAGATTCTTCATTATCTTTGAATATTCCTTCTAAGTCTTTAAGTGGGCATGATAATCTTTGTTTTGATGGGCTTAGGTTATTGCTAGAGAAATCATTTTTAAAAATGTGCTTATTCCCTCCCTCCCCCCCCCCCCCCCCCCCCCCCCCCCCCCCCCCCCCAGTTCGTCGAGGTGAATTGCAGATTAACTTGGCGGACTTCATAAATTAGTTTAATCTCGCAATAAGCATTAGCTCGTCAAGATCGTTTCTTCGCGCTGGCCAGCTTGGCCCGTCCTTGTATAGATTTGACATGTGGCGTTTCAGTAATATTTATGATAATAAGCTTTAATGCGAGGTCCACTATGCTTTAGGGTTTGGTTCCAAGCAGAAAAGGCAAAGGTCTTTGACACGAGAATCAGAGTTTGATTAAAGCATTCCTTTATCAAACCGTTGAGTTTCTATCTCCTAACTTTGATCTTTGCTTTCTTTAGAGAGAATCTTCAATTTTCAGGCATTCTTTTTGCATTTACTCTTGGATTTGTTTCACGAAGATGGGATTAAGGAAGAGAAGCAAAATTCCTCTGGTTGAAATTAATATCCCATGATGTCCTCCGGCTAAGAAGCCGAGAGTTGCAACCCCGCCAGGAGATCCACCGCCTTTTGAAGATATTCTGACGATCGATCTCGCCGTCAGTGTCACCAATGTGCGATCTTCCGATTCCTCTCCACCAAAGATTTTGATCGAGAATCCGATGGTGGGATGTCCTCTAGCTAAGAAGCCGAGAATTGCGACCCCGCCAAGAGATCCACCACCTTTTGAAGATATTCCGACGATCGATCCTGCCGTCAGTGTCATTGATATGCGATCTTTCGATTCCCCTCCACCGAAGATTTTGACCGAGAATCCGATGGATGCTTCTGCAATCGGGGGACAAGATCCCGTTTTTTGAGGGAGAGGAAGGCCAGGAAACCAAGTCGGCAGTTTCTACGAATAGTTCGTCAAAGACTCCGGAGAATCAAACCGCCGATGAAGATTCGAGTTTTAACCCTCATCAATTTTTATTGCGTTGGAATGTAGATTCCCCAGCGATGCTTGATAAGTACTTCGCCACGAATTTGATCTGGCAGTGTAGGGCGAAACCAAACAAAGGATTGTCTGTTGAGAAACTGAAGCGGTTTGAGGGTTTCTGAGGAATGGCTCAGCGCTTTATGCAGGTCTGTCATTTTTCTCTTTAGTTCAACTCCATTTCTTGCATAATTAAGCTATTTTGATGAAAAATACTTTGTAGGGGATAGGATTATGCACATCCCTGATAAAATCATATGATCAAGATTCTTTGCGTGAAGAAAGCAAAGCTGAGGAGTTAATGGCCAAAGATCAGGAGCTTTGTTGTGCGGTAGCGAGGATTAAATATCTCGAACGCGAAAAGCTCGAGGAAGAGCTTAAATGACAAGGACTCAAAGTTGAATCTTCCAAAGAGAGACAACTGCATAGGGAAAATCTGGAAAAGAGAGCTGTTGAGGAAAGCGAGAGGATGGCTGCTGCAGAAGAGGAGTCTTGGAAATCACATTGGAGATTCATTGAATGTCTTGCTGATTTGATGCATCAGCGTTCCTGCGACTGGTATCATCCTCGTATTTGCCGGATAAAGGCATTTCTGGCGCAAGGGGAGGAGATTCACAAACTCGAGCTTAAGATCGTCGATACCGAAGCAAGGATAGCTTGTTACGAACAACTGCGATCTGAAGGCTGCGAAGTTCCTATCGATAAACTCCTCTCTTGGGTCCAAACTCAATCATTTGAAGGTAAAACATTACGGTATTAGGGAAGCTCCCATTACAAAGGATGATTTTGCTGCTCCTGAAAGATTAGAACGCCAAGATGACGCTCAGTTGGATCGAGCTTGTGTTTTTGTGACATCTTATGCTTTCATGTCCTGTTTTTTGTAACAAAATTTTTGTGAATATATGCGAAGCGTCACTTGCCGCGACAACATTTCCATATGAATCTAAACAAATGGATTTAAAGAGATCGCCAAGTAAATCAGACGACGTGATAAACTTATTTAATCGACTTAGATAAATCGATTTAACCGAAATGACTTTCAGTACGTGAAGTTGATAGGGCTCATGTTTTCCCCAAATAAAAACTACTGCAAGTGCACAGCAAAGCAATCGTAGTGTAAGGGGTATCGAATCCCAAGGGAGTATGTAAACTACACTAGCGATTTCTGATTCAGATTAAGCTAAGCAATAAATAGTGTATGTAATGCAAAATAACAAAATAAACCAAAGCAGGTGAAAATTTGTTTGATCTAAGACTCAGAAAACTAAAAACGCTAAGTCAGGACAATTTGCAGGTTGAATCCGAGAATGTAGAATGCATAAAATCAGGAATGAATAAGAACCATCTTGAACATGAATCTCAAATATATAACTAATCAATTCTCATTGCAGAAGTTAACTATGTCTAAATCACAGAGTTTCAAATCTCTTTGCAAACCTTAAAAATCTAAGCATGCAGTAATGATCAGGTTCAATTGTTCACAAAACTTCTAAGCCAAATCTCTTTGCACTAAGGTGTTTTGCTCATCTAATACTAGTTCAGGTTATCAATAATGTTCTCACATCTATTAAACAACCTTTGATTTTCGGAATACCAGATGATATGTCTAAGAAATCGGTTTTAAAGCAAGTAGAGATGAAGAACCAAAAGATATTCCTAACAGGTTTAGCGATTCTACAAACTCTTCATCAACCCTTGAAAAGCCTTAACTTAACTAGCAGATTACTCAACCATGATCATGGAATCACAAAGCATAGCTGAATAGAATTGCATTAAAGAGAAAGAATAAAAGATAAAAGGGTTGAGTACAGGATCTGTCTCCCAAAAAATCTCTGAATAAAATTCTCTCTAAAGCTCTCTGAATCCTAAAATCTGAGATATAAGCCAACAATGGCTGAAAAACTAATATATACAAGCTAAAACATGAGCTGGAACAATTTTGTAAATACTGGAACTTCTGGGGCAAAAGTGCAAATATTCTTCAATCTTTTAGAAAACCATCGCGACTCCTTCCCATCTACGGGTGACGAGCGTCACCCTTGAGTGGTAACGAGCGTCACCCAACTCTATTCGCCTTCTGAGTTGCAAACTTCGTAGTTGCATCTTGCAATGCTCCAAAAAGCTCCATAATCTCCAATTGTGCTCCAGACATGCTATAACCTGCAAAGACTCTACTAGGACTCTAAAAAGACCAAAAAGATTCAATAAAAAGGACTTATACCATGGTTAAAAACCATAAAAACTAATATATATTAACTCCCCCAGACTTAGCTTTTGCTTGCCCTCAAGCAAACATCAGACAATGAACATGGTCAAGGTTTGAAAACAGAAACAATCAGCTAAAAATCAGGAACACCACATTGATTAATGATATATCATGGTTTTTGCTGGTTTTTGACTATGATATAAGTCTTGTTTATAGAGTCTTTTTGGTATTTATTGAGTCTTTTAGAGTCTTTGCAGGTCTAGGTACGAATGGAGCATAACTGTGAATTTTGGATACTTTTGGAGCTATACCGAAGATAATGCTGAAAGGACCAAGTCTGAAAGCATTATGGAGCAGGGTGTCGATCGACACCCACCACTTGGTGTCGATCGACACCGGTCATGGTCGCGAAGAAGTGTAAAAACTCATTGGAAGAATTTGCAACTTGGTCCAGAAGTTTTCTACTATTTGCACTTTTACCCCAGTTTGTGTTTAGACTTGTATTTAGATTTTTTCAATGTTCAAAATATCGCTAGGCGGTATCTAGACGCTCAATAGGGATCTAGGGTCTAGGCGTATTAATCGGGGTCTAGACGAGGATTAATCGTTTTAGATTTATTTAGATTTTTTATTATTTTTAAATATTTATTTCATAAAAGTCACTAAAAATAAAAAAAAGTTTTGATCCAATATCAACTAAAAGTTTAAGTGTTTAACACAAATAAATATAAAAATATAAAACTTAAACATAACCAAAAGTTCAATAAGATATAAGATAAAAAATCAAAAAAATGTAAAATAAAACAAATATGCTAAGCTTCTTCGACTGCAAACCCCTCGACATTCACCACCTGTTCATTATCAGATTCAAATTCAATATCATTGACAATATCATGCTCTTCATCTGAGTCAGGTTCTTCTCTACCTTCATCACTCGGAACTTGATGAACAGATTCTCCATTAGGTGCTTCAACAATCTCAAGTGGATCCACAAACCATTCTTCTGTATTTCTTTCTTCACCATCTTCAAGAATCACATCAATGTTTTTATCTTTAATCCTTTTCCGTCTGTTAAACAATTTGGCATTGAATTGGACATAAACTAGACTTTTAAGTCGATTAACATCTAGTCTATTCCTTTTTTTAGTATGGATCTATAAGAAAGAAAGAAGAAAACATCCAAAATCAACAAACAAAATTTGAAAAGAAATACATAAAACTTTGATAAA